TTAAAATATATGAATGTGGAAATAATAATATACATTTAATCATGAAATTTTCACTTCATATTCTTATTTTAAAATGAGCCCATTATAGGGCCCTCTCTTGGTACGTAATCCAAATAGAAAGCTACCTTAAATCCTGGTAGTAGGGCGATCGCCAGGTCTGCTTGGTCTGCCAAGACTGTCGTCATGCCCTTTAACTATACACATGCGAAACTTCTCTTTAATCCTTCTTTAATCCATTTTCGTTCTGAAATAGCCTTTGTTGAATTCTAATCAACTTATCTTCAACTTATATAGATTTATACTCTTAGGGAAGGACTTGATATAGGTAAGATTCACGCACACATAAGCACTTTTTCTATACGTATGATTTACACCGATTTGCGTTTAGTTTTTAAAAAGGGCTTAGCTGGATAAGGGGGTCAAATGTGCCCTTAAGACGAATGAAGCGCCCTTTGCGCCATTCGATAGCTTATCAAAAAAGACACATTCACTCCAATTTTTAGACCTATATCTCATCTAGGGGGGTAGTAATCGAGAAAATTCGAAAAATCAGTTTTTTGAAGTTTTTCCTTATTTATCGCCTTGCGAAAAATCTGAGAAAATTCTGACATGTAGTTGGACATGTCTGAGAATTTTTTTCAGATTTTTCCCTTGCAAAATGTAGCCGTGAAAAATAAAAAAGAGCTGAAAATAATTTTTTCTAAAAAAATCGGAAAAACGCTGTTTTTATATTTGTATGGTAGATTCGTATTGTTGCAAAGACTGTTCATGAATTTTTTCAGATTTTGTAGGATTGCTGCGTCAGTATGAAAAAAATCAAAGACTATATTTGTCTCATGTTCAAGTACGGAGACGGAAGACGCGTTTGCAACGGCAGTGGAGCACTTTTCCCCTCGTTTAAAAAAAAAAATTCTATGGCGTTTGCCCAATTTTGAGGGCTTTTTTAACGAGCCTAAATCCCCTTCTGCGAAATATTTTTACAAAATTAATCGTGAACTTTCATTTTCGGAGTTTTTCCTCGTGTGGGAACAAGGTCAATGCGCATCTTAGATATGTGTTTTTTTTCTTGATGTTTTGGCGAAACTTCCGAAAAGCCTCGTTCTTCGAATTGGCTGAAACTTTGAAAATAAGTTCTTTTTTGATAAAAATCATGATTGCGAGAAGGATTTTTGGCGACTCGAAAAAATTTTTTTTACCATTTCAAAGTCATTTCCTATGTTACCATACGTATTGACTTATAATTTGTTTATTTCTTAATTTGTTGATATCCTCGATTAAGGACGTTTGTTAGGGTTTTAGAAGGGTAAGCGGTGCGGGG